TTCTATGAAAGGTGTGCAAATGTACAGTAATAGTACTTGTTTCATGTAATTAGAATAATATTATAATTAAAGACTCTATGATTTCTGCTCATAGGATTTGATTTAGTTTCTGTGAGAAATGCTCTTTTCATATCAGTGGGCTGTACAACAGACTCACTGTTTCAGATCCATAGGGCTCAAAAATAGGTTTCTGACAGAGCAACAGCCATCAGTATTGTTCTTTCATAGCCCAAATAACAGTGAAAGAAAATGCAAAGGACACTAACTGATTGCAAAGGAATATGGCATACTAGGAGGGATTAATTGTTAAAACCAGTGCTGTCTTTGTCACTTCACTTCTCTCTCCCCTAACCTGCATGCATGCAGCTTTAAAATCCATAGTGGTAAGTCACTTTCATAAGTATTTGAGCTCTGTCTAACACTCTTTAGGTATCTGGGTCGAGGATAGCAAGAGTCTGAACTAGAGGATCAGTATTCAGTCCTATTATCACCACAGGGCTGAAACACACAACCCACTTCTTAAATATGTAAACCTTATCACAAACAGGATGCTTGGGGACTGCGTTCCTTATTATTGGAATCACATGTATTAATTCAGTCCTACTGAGTATGTTTTTAGTCAGCTCATGTCAAAGTATCAGTGATTAACCATTAACACTGCTGCAACTCTGATAGAAGGCAGAATTTAAATCTGATTTTTAAAAACCCAAACAATGAAACAGAAAAACCTTGCACGAATTTTTCTCTAACAAAGGAAGAAAAATTTAACATCAACCAAAAAGAGAAATGAAAAAGTCTTGCTGTAATACTGATATTCCTTCTATTTTTTTCAAACAAGTAGAATTTAAATTTGACTTCATGTCTATTTAAAGGAGTAAGAAGGAAGCAAGAAAGCCTTATTTTTTGTTACAGGCTACACTGGATACCTTTCAAACAGGTGAGCAGAGTACCACCACAAAGCTACAAGGCATTGGTATCTTGCTCCTACTTTAAACTGACAGCAAATCAATTCTGGTTAGAGCAGAAAGAAAAAAAGAAAAAAAAAAATCTTCAAGAGAGCCCTGAAGTCTTCTGGGGGAAGGCCACATATGCTGCGGTTTCTACCATCTTAGCTCCATGCAAGGCTGTGCTTCACAGTTTGGGTTAGCCACTAAAGAGGAAACTAATTTCGTAAATTCTGTGTCTACTTGCAGAGATGTGCTAAAATCACGGCTGCCCTGCACATACACTGAAGACAATACCATAGTATAGAATAAAAGGATGCAACAAGAGCATGCCACAGCAGTTCAGTTCATCCTTAAGCTCTTACTTTGAGCATATAGGAGTAGCCTCAATTATTTCAGTAACAATGTTCCCATAAACAGTGTCAAGCAGAAATGTTTGCAGAACTGAAGCCTTTACTTGGTGATGTGTTTTAACAGCTTCACAAAAGATGTCTATTTTCCTCACCAGATGTAAATCACTGTTATTCCCTCCCAAGACATCAAAGTGTCAAAATAGGTATGTGTCAATAAAGAAATAATTGTAGTTAGGATTATACTCTTTAGATACTTCGCTATAATAATTTAATATGCTTTTCACTGAAATGTCTGGCTTGCAGAGCTTCTTTTAGATTAATTTATTTTTCCTTCCCATCTCTCAGATACTATCTTTATATCTGTGTTTTAATGCTAGATTTACCCAGGTCTGTTCTATACCACTGTCACGGTTTTACAGCTCATTAGCTCTTGCGGATATACTATATATACGGATATAAAATTCTGCTATAGTATTTTCAGTTTATTTAGTTTTGAACTACTGAGAAACAGCATTTTAAGCTCATCAACACATGTTATGAAACCCAACCCACAAGTTACCTAAAGACAGACATACATTTGCCTCCAGTGTTGATTGTGCTCTTAATTAAATGTAACAAAACCCAAAGCATCTATGCCATTACCAATTAAACTCATCAGTAGAGATTTATCATTGGAAACAAAGAGTTTTCACCAAAACATTTAAATACTGCTACATTGCATATTTTACACTTTTTTATTATATGTATTTGTTTTTCTGACAACTTGAACATTTATAATCACTCCCCATAGTAATGAGTCCCTCTATGGTGAAAACACTGAGCTCTTCAATGACTTCATCACAGCAAACTATTTCATTTTTTTAATTAATCCATAATTTGTTAAAACTGTTCAGTGGCAGTGTTAAGTAAAATATGAGTACGTCACCAGTTTACGTCCCCTAATGTGGCTATGGTCATTGTCTAATTTGTTACAAAATCTTTTTCTTGTTTTTGTGAAAATTTTCCCATTAAAATAATATATAAAAATGCAACGTGAAATCCACAGGGGGGAAAAAAAATACAGAACGAGGCAGTATTTTTATGGCTGAAAACAATTCCATCACAGCAGACCATGAAGATCAGAACACAGTTCCTGTCTCCCATAATCCTACACCCATTATTAAGCGTTAAGAGTTACACTACCCATTTAAAAAATGAGTAATATGTGAAAATGTGGAGACAGCAGTAAAGTTACAGATTTGTCATACACTGCACACAGAAACTTTGCGTCTCTTACTTCAGAAGATTTTCCATATGAGTTATCATACTACCCAGTAGTTACAATTTACCCTGTCACATAGAAAATTTTCATGTTTTGAAGGTGGATTAATGAGAAAAGAGTAACCCAGTGCATATTTACACACAAAATGATAAAAGCTTTGCTGGTTAATAACAAATCTCATTTTTGTCTCATTTAACTAATGGCATATGGAATTTTCCGCAAGGCATATGGTACTAATTAAACATGATAGGAGTCTCCCAGATAGTCAATACAGCCATGAGGTATCCAAGGAATGCTTCCTTTCAGTATACATTATCTATGTATTGATTTGATAGCCTGAATGCATAAAAGCCCTGGGAACTACCAATGTTTAATGATGTGGGAACAGCATTTCAATTCTTATCTGTATGAATACTGTGGTTGCTGAGGAAAATTCTGAAATACTTAATGAACTGGCAAATTATGAACTAACCAGGACTGGTTTATTTTCATTCATTCATTAATCACTGCTTCTGATATTTATTCTTAACTTTTCTGTTTACATTTAGAAGACTCTTCTATGACCCTATATGCCAGAGAGGAAGAAATTAAAGATATCCCCATATTTTTTTAATAGAAACAATAATCTAGGTTCCATACATTTTAATGGCTTTAATGAACACCTAAAATATAAGGTGTGTGATGCTAATGTTTTATTTTGAAAATTCTAATATACATAATGTGTATAAATACACCTTCATGTGTTTGACACCAGCTGTGCTAATTAAAATATTTGTTCTATTGTCAGTGTTAGATATGGGTTAATGATTAACTTTAAATGTAAATCCACCGGTATATAATTTTAATTCCCTTTTCAATTCAAGGATATCAGCTTTCTCTAGCATACAGAAGGTCAACCACTGAAAAAGTTAAAAAAATGAAGACTGTGTTTGTCCTGCTTCATAATAATAACCAGGTAAAACAACAGCAGCAGTGAATTCTCACAGTCATTACCTGCTTACTTACAATATCCTAAGCAAAATAAAAAATAAAATAGTTGAGTTCCTTGACCTAATGGGACAATGGTAAATGACCTTCCAGTAACCAGAACAATTCTGTGAAAAAGAACAACGATGTCTCAACATCACTATATCTAGCATCAGTGGGTTATTTTTATCGAGACACTTCTTGAGCAGTAACAGAGCAGCGGTTTGTATTCTGAAAGACAGGACTGATCCTTTCGTAGATCCAGTAAATTTCAGAGTAGTAAAAAAAGACAGTACAATTTCAATAGTGCTCTGAATTGGCCAACTTAATCTACCATCATTTGCAAGATCTACCATCACCACTAACGGAAAGAAAACTGCTTCCTAGTGCTCCAACTGTTAAATATACACTCTGCTTTTGATAATGAGACTTGAGAAAAACCGGTGAGAGTTAAGCACCAAGGCTGTCACTCAGTTTTAAAGCATCCTAGTATAAAGTCACACTGTGAATTTTATATATAAAGTCACACTGTGACTTTTATACCCAAAATAAGACGAGATTAAAAATAAACCTGTAATGTTATTAATAGTCTGCTACAAAACAGCCTAACACTTAAGATAAAAAAGCCATTTGGCAAATAAAACATGGTGACTGAAGAACAAATTCTGGACAACAATGTTATTTTTACACTTTCTGCACACTGTGCTGGAAGGTGTAACCAGTACCTTACCTGACTACAAAAACATCGCACATACCCTTCTCTCAAAGGCTCTAATTTAACAGGTCATTTCAAAATATTTTCAAAGCATATGGCAGTATTACCCTGTAAATTTAGGATTCTCTGCTCTTGACATGCTGTATCAGTGAACTGAAAAGAGCAATAACATTTAAGGTGGCTGAATTCTCATTATGTAAAACAAGCTGCATTTTCCTGCTCTACCCACAAGAGTATTTCTATTTGTGCAACATAAGATTTGTGCTCTGTGCCTTACTGCTCTAAGATTTCAAATATAATTTTACTTTAAAAACACACAGGTCCTTAGAGGTATTTTCAAACTGAAATATCATGCAAGATTAACAGTTCTTCACACATCAAGGAGTCTTTCTTTCCTCCTGTATATTGCACCAGACATATTGAAAGCCTATGTATCCAAGATATATACAGTATGCTAGATATCACTGAAAACCTAAATTGAGAAGGGGGAAAAAAAAAAAAAAAAAAGTAAGAAAACCGGCTTTTAGTTTAGGAGCAGTATTTTTACACAGCTTTAGAACACTATCTGACAACCTATTTGCAGGTTTGCTCTAATTTAACAGATTAACACAGCTTCCCAACCCTGCCTTCCTGCATTTACATACCATGCATTATGCCCAAAAAAAGGAGTATACAAATAGAGATCCTTTCAGCCTGTCTAGCCTGTCATCAAAACCAGCATTTTTCACTGATAAAAACAGAATGGAAGGAATCAGACCAACCTTCACAATGTACGTCACACCAGGTCCCAGGATCTTCTCACTTGAGTGCAGCCATCCTCGAGAGGGTTTACTGACAAAGCTGCTACTTTGATTCCAGTCTTCACCTCCTGGGTGCATTTCCTCTGACCGTGTTTTTTTCCCCATACTCATCTTGCTCACGTCCTGCTGAGAACACGAAGTGGCAGAGACAAGGTTACATGTGTTGTCTGAAGCCCCTGCTGCTGAGCTAGAAGCACTCGAGCTTCCCTGCAACTTGGAGACAGCAAGCTCCTTTACTGCAGAGGAGAGGTTTTTGATACCCAAAAGGCTGCCTGTGTTAGAGAGTTTCAAGTGGGACACTTTATGGATAAGTGTACACAGGGTGGTGGGTCCATCTTCCTGGTCCTTGCGAAGAACATCTGGCGAGACCAGGTACGAAGGTGCTGTTGAAGTCGTAGCAACTGCTGGGACCTTGCTGTTCATGGACAAATTGTGAATAAGATCATCAACTGATGTCACCGAATCATTCCTGAAGCGGTTATACTTGGTACGTTGAAGCATGCCCTTCTATCTGGTTTCCTGCATATGTTCTGGCAAATTTGATGCCAAAGCAGGAGATGCCTGTGCTAACATAGCAGGCAATTCATAACAACACGGATGGATAACAAGATTTTGGGGTAAAAAAAAAAAAGTATAAGGAAAAACAAAAAAAATATTTTCAGAAATTTCTTATGGTTCCCCGTTAAGGTTGGGTGAAGTAACAGTTTTCTGTGACAGAGATCCCAGTCCTGCTTAGAGCTGCCAACTCGCTCACAGCAAAAGCATGACTCACACAAATGAGAAGGACCCTTTTCAACAAAAGGCTCAGTGAACACTGCAAATCACTTCCTGTAGCAAAAAAAAAAAAAAAAAAAGGAAAAAAAAAAAGAAAAGAAAAAAAAAACCATCCACCCACTTACAGCACACTAGCACCAATCAATTCTCAAATTTCCTTTTCCTATCTTCTCAACAGATATTTTCTTCCAACCTTTCATTCCTCCCCACCCCCCCCACCACCACCCTTTTGGTACCAAAGCCAATTACCTCTAAAACTGAATTAACAGCCTTTATGAAACACCACACTTTATTCTTCAGTGTAAATGTTCTTCCACCTCACATATCTGTGAATCTATAAAGAAGTCACAATTAGATAGCAAAAACATGGATAATATTTACACTTATATGCCCCCCTCCCCAGCAAAACACAGGCACCTTAAAGGTTTTCAGAACAGATGACAGAACACAGAATATACACATCTTCCACAAAAGCAGCCTAACAGACTTTACAAGTGCCTTTGTGTCAATGCTGTCTCTCACAGAAACTGTTACATCCGATTTTTGATAAGAGAAAGAAATTCTTCTCCCCTGTTACTCCACAACAACCTTCTATTTTAATGCAGGAATTACATAAGTACCTATGTGTGAAGAAAAGTATTTTTCTGATGTCCAACAACAGGCTTAACAGATTTTTTTTTCTTTCACCACTGATACTCGCTCCAAAGAAAAACATGAAGAGGATCTTCAATTCACTGGAATGTTTGGTTTAGTTCTGAAAAACTGAAAAAAACTAAAAGAATATTCAGAAGTCGAGGTAGCAGCAAACTGACATCCTGCAGTGAAAAATAAAAAAAAAAATGCACCAGGTCTTATTAAGCATAAATGTCAGCCACAAACACTTGTTCAAAGAAGAAGCAAAACATGCAGAAAACAGATATTTCATCTCTCCTACGTTTTTTTTGAAAATACAAAATGTGTACAGCATTGTGATACTCAATGCCCATCACAAGCCATATGGCTTCTATAAATTGATTTTCTTTGCAAAACATCTTTTGAATGTAGGACAATACACTCATTATAAACAAATTCAGACCAGAGAAGTTGCATACTGCAAAGTTATTTTTTTAAACAAATTACTAAATGCAGCACAATTTAAAGGGAAAATCCTGTGGAATTCCTTCCCTCTCCCATGACTAAAGGCTGCGGTATACAAGTACAAATGCAGTGAAACAGCCAGCTCAAATACAGGTATTTAATTAGTATATTCATGACACATTAAATTAAGTCAGCACCTCTTATCCCAGCAGTGATGAGTAATGGCAATGTCCTAGTCAGTGTAAAAGCAGGTTTCTAGTGATCTGCGGAATAGCCTTTCATCATCACACTGCAAACCTGCTACAGCATCCACACAGCATTCATTCCTCTCTTCATCCTCTTAGTATAGCAACAGCAAATATACACACCAGATCCTATTTTTACGTGTCCCTACTGCCCAGAAAACCCTACTGCTCCCAAATGGCTTTCTTCATTAGAAGCGGCTAGCGAAACTGCAAAATGTGAATGAGATTCTGTGCAAGTGAATGAAAGGGCTGGCTAGCATCCCCACATTTCTGTGAATGAAGCGAGGCCTCGCAGCCTCTGCCAGGCAATCCCTTGGGTGCTCACCAGCCCAGCCAATACCAGCCGGCTTTGATGACTCATTCAGCAAAGCCTTGCTAAATAGTGGAAGATCCCATTTCAAGCACAGGCGGCACCTTTTTTGCAGCAACACCAGAAAATGAAGCCGGCGTCTGAGCAGACGAGGGTGGGTCGCAAAGCTCCCGTGGAAAAGGGACCGTTGCCGGAGAAATGCATGGGGTGTCCACAGGGGTGGCAGGTGAGGAAAACCAGGGAGTCAGATCTGAGTTTCTCCCCGATGTGTTCATTCAGCCGGTTCATTTACATCCAGGGATGGGAACATGAATGTGCACATTTCGTTTGATGTTCGATTGCTCTCTGTGTACACTAGCAGATTCACAGATTTTACAGGTTTGTCTTCAGAGACCCCTGATGCAAAAAAACACAAACAACCAACCTGCTTGGGGGGAAAAACAAAACAAAACAAAACCAAAACCCAACCCAACAACAACAACAAAAAACACCCGCATATACTTATTTATCCTATTAGCAAAGTAGGTATTTAAAAACAGTATGATTATCAGTCTACTGAAAGAAAGGCAGAGAGAAAGCTAGAGAGATAAAAGCTTCCCAGAGCACCAAGCAGAAGGACTAATTTCTGACACTGCTTCATTGGACACAGAAATACTATTAAGACATCTGATGGATGTTGAGCTCTACTGGAAATCTGACATTAGACATTGCAGAGGAGTTATAGCCACTGAATTATGCTGTGCTTAAAATCTGGTACTCATTTCAGTGTCTGATTGGGAACTGGTTTCCACTACAAATCTGGTGCTAAACTGGAAGAACTGAACATTTTAAAACCTTGCCTTTTATAGTTCTTGGGACTAGAAAAGGTAGATAATTTTGCCTTACAGGCAGCAGGTTCAAATCCAACTCCAGGAAATAATGAAATTAGAAGACCCTGTAATAGGCATAAACTGCAATTAAAATTAGAATTTAGTCAATTCTAGCTATTGCCAGAGCATTATAATGCCTTTGGTATTTCCAATAACAGGCCTGTAGCTTGCACACTGACTATACCATGCTAGCTTTAAATGTTTGTTACTACTATTATCATAGTACTACTGATAGCAAGACATTCAAACTGCCATTTCTCTCTAATCTCTCCATCTGCAGCTGTGCTAGGTCAGCTAGTTGAAAATGAGCCTTTTTCCTTTCTTTTTGCAGGGATATGAGCCAGACACTGCCACCATGAGTAACAAATGACCATTGAACAATGATTTAATTGTTGACTCGGTAATAAAATGGGAGGTGGAAACTCAATGTTGATAAATGTAAAATAATACATAATCCTAGCAATACATACACACTGAGTGAGTGTACACAGCCTCTAATGAACTACAGCATTTCTTACGAACTACTGGTAATTTTGGCATCTCTGACCATTCCCTCTTCTCTGAATTTTTTCTTCATTGTTTTTTCAGTTATGTTTTCTCATGGATCCTCCTCTCACTCTGACGCAGTCAGTGTCTCGTGACTGTTCCTCCTTTTCTTCCTCCAGGTGGCTCTCGGGGATTCATCCTTAGCTGCCACCTTTTTTCCTTCTGTACCTTTCCCTCTGCAGCTCATATTTCAGAAGCCAGTAAGTTTTATTAACAGCAAAGGGTAGGGAAAAAAAAGATACTGGAGGGAAAGAGTAGAGAGAGGAAAGGGGAGAAGCTACATTTTGGTTTCCCTTGTTAGGATGAGGTTTAAAAGGATTTAAATTGCTGCAGATCCAAAGGTAGGAGACATTGTCAATACACACACTAAACCAGCTAAGATGGTGTGGTCACCATCAAGAGTTAACACAGGCAGTACAACTGCTACATTCCAGTACCTGTGGTAAGAAACTCCCTAATGCAAAAAAGGTGACATTAAGTGGCCCATATTTGGAGGAGTATTGACCATATAATCACAATCAAGCAAAACCACCTAGTTCCAGTAACACACTGTGGTTAAATATGTACTCTATACAAACAAGTGCTAGAAACTTAAAATTCTGCTGAAAGACTGCTTCCATTTTGAAAGCTTATGCCCAGTGGCAGTCAAATTCCTTGTGGAGTAAACTGAATTTTACAAAAAAAATGAGCATGAAAAAGACAATGACTTGGGGAAAAAAAATCCAAATTGAATTTGGGTTAGCTATATTATAAGAAACAGTGAATGTGTCAGACAAACTTAAATATAGATGTTGCCATTAGTTTTAATTGCAGCACACAAAACATAGCCATAGAGCCATTGTAGTTGACATTCCTCTTTACAACAAGCCCTAAATAATTAACATTACTATGATTCAGCATCTATCTTCATCCTCTTAGTATAGCAACAGCCATCAGCAAAGAGAGTGCTATTCCTCACATTGTAATATGATGGATACAAGCATTAATGCTCTGCTTTAGTAAATCATCTTGCAGAATCTTTAATATCACAAATGGTCAATTTCTCACATAAAAAGATAGTGTTTCAATAGTACAAAGATTTCTAATATCCTGTGGAGACACTTATTCTGTTGATTAGTTAATTGAGAAGGGAAAATAACAGCTTTCTTTGCATGAGATACATATATACCAGAAATCTCTTATCCATGTATTAATCAGCCTAATCCAGCTTTATTTGAGACAATGTCCAATGATGTAGTTACAGACAAGCAACATAACACCAAGACAAGCTAAAAAGCATTATGATCTAACCTTCTTAAGAAGGTGTGTAGCTATGATAATTTTAAAAAATTCTAAATAATTTTATCTATTCCATTTGTACATATCATATTCTGTCTTCCTCTGTCTCTGATATACCTGCACACAGAGCTCAGTTACATGCTCCTCTGATTTCAAGGGAGACTCATCACATAGCTGATAGAAATATTGAGAGGCACTGAAGACAGTGTCATTTAAAACAGCCATGACTATATACCTCTACTTCAAAATATTTTGCAGGAAAACCACATAAAACTCGGCTTACATCACTTAGATTTTTTTTCCTTACTGGGTGTTCGAGTGAGACCTCAGATTACTGTTCTATGGAAAAAAAACCCAAACACCACCAAGGAAAAAACAAGGCCTGTAGGCAAAGGCTATGGTCCTCCCCTAGCAAAACCCCAAAACAATTTTAACAAATTCTAGTTGATTTATTTTTACAAAAAACTGCTGTAAATTGCCCCATCTCCCTTTCATTCTCGCCCCTTCTCTCTCACCCAGAGTTTTTCTGTTTCCGTGGCAACCTTATTGCTAACGGTGGGCTGCACCAGTAAATGGGAGCATTATCTGTGGCTTTGCAAGTTATTTCTCTGGAAAACCACATTGTTGGAAGTATCACTGTTTAAACTCAGTGATCATTAATGATCAACTTCCAACTTAATTTAAATCAGTTACATGTAAAAT